TTCTGCTCATAAAGGCGCGACGCTCTCTGTCGTTCTCTCCCTTCCGGCCGCTTTGGCGGTTCGAGAACAGTATTATCCGCGATGATTGCGCGAACCTGCAAGAGTTGCCGACCAGGGCGTACAACGCTGCAGGCGCCGCGGATGAGACGCGCGTTCGGCGGCCGTTTAAAGGGAACCTTCGCTGATGAGCGGCGCTTCGACGCGCTCTTGCCGGAAGGGAGGTGCCCTCGGTGTCTCCTCCCTCGTCAGAACTGAGCTGTGTTTGGAATTTCTGGAGCACTGGGTTGGGGCGGCGTCCTTCCCCCATCGGCACATCCATGGGCATGAGATGAGGGGCTGATTGCAGAGCTGCCCTTGCGCGTGCCCCCTCCTTCGGGTGCGGCCTCGGCCCTCGCTCCGAGTTCCGTTGCCCCCGTTGTCGACGCGCCCGAATATCGCGAGCGTCGACGTCCAGCCCGGCTGCCTGGCATTCAGCTGAGTCACGCGTCCCGCGCTAAGCCTTATGGAGTAACGGCTCTGCGTAGGCCTCTCGTTAGCTGCGGGCGGCGGGACGCGTCGGAGAAAGGACGCTTAAACGGTCGGACGGCGGGACCGCCACGCCGCCTCGATCGATGGATTGCGTGCGTGTGTTCATTTGGCCGCTCGCACCTGTGTGGGCACCGCTCGCTCGCGCACCGTGTCCCCTGCCCACTCGCCCACGGGCGAAATGGCTTCCCTTTGGTAAACGGTGCGCTGAGGAGACTGGGATGGATTGTGTCGACGGAGCCACATTTCTACTTCTTTCGTTATTAATTATTAACTGAGCGCCACGACTTCAAGCATCACCAGCGCCGCGCTTTCGACCGCGGTGCCTCGGCAGACGGCGCAGGTAAACGGGTGTCAGCGCCGGGTGTTGACATCTGGAGAATAGGTACAGGGGGGGGGGGGGGGGACCTAAAGGAGACCATCATGGTCACCTTCACCTTTGTGTTCAGCGTGCGGCATTCTTTCCATCATTTGTAGGCGCGCACACAGTATGGAATGGCTGCGGGATAAGTGCGGCGTCAAGGTCTAGCGAAGAGTGAGGCTCCCTTCGGCGGTGGCTCGATGTTCTTTGTGCATAGGCATGCGAGGGTCTCGGAGGGTGGCGTGGCCAGCTCAGGTTCAAGGTCACACCTCTCGTTCGGCCGAGATTGACGCCTCCCTGGCAGCGGAAACGGCGGATCTTCATTGCAGCGAGGGCGGCCGGAGGAAGGGAGTGGGCGGGAACGACACCTGTGGGCGCGAATGGTTGACTGGGCTTTTATCCTTAAATGCAAATGCATTGTGTGCTGGCTGCGCCCTTGAGTAAGTCTTGATCAGCCTCGCAATGCCTGGGAGGATGAGCTGAGACAAGCCGCAGCAGGTGACGCCGAAGGAGTGCAGATCAGATGCGAAGCAAGAGCATCGTTCGCGGCCGCCCCGAAACGCCGTTCTGTTGTGGCTGGGGAGGGGTCTCTGCATGAAGCTCGAGCAGCCCTAAGGGGCAGAAGCCAGACGTTAATGTGGGCGACACAACCCCGCAAGAGCGAAGCACAAATGGAAAAAGTACCGGCATGCTCTGACGCGAGATTGCCTGTGTCACGTCCTGTTGCCAGTGGAAAGGATCAGCCAGCTCGGTCGCCCGCCTCGGCAAGCGAGTCTGCAGTCGCCACTCCGGACGGACGCCCGCAAGCAAGCAAGCACAAGTGCAGGTGGGCCCTGGACGGCCACTCGGCCCGGCACAGGTGGTTCCTTGGGAGGTCGTGGAGATTGTAAGGAGATGCGACGTGGGGAACGCGGACGCTGGGCGGCGGGCGTGGGGAAGGGGCGTCGTGGATGCTGGAAGGAATTGGCCTCGTGAAAGGTGGTGAGGGACGGGCGGGGTTGGTTGATCCCCTCCAAGGTGTGCTGCGCAGTTGCGCTGCTGCCTAATGCCCCCGAGAGGGGCTTCTGACGGCGTTGAGCCTCGCCCGAGCTGAGCAAAGGCGGTTGACGCGACGTGGATGCGAGCAGGGCAAGATCGTTTTGTCCAAGGGCCATTCTTGCAGAGACGCCGTTGTGCACGGCTATGCCTGTCCCCTTTTTTTTTTTTTTTTTTATCTGGCTTTGATTTTTCTTTTCTTTTTCGTCTTTCTCTTTCCGATTTTGTACGAATGCAGTGCATCCTCCCACGGACCACGAGCGGAGCTGCTCCTGAGTCTAGAACCGCAGAAGGTCCTTTCGTGGCTGTCCTGTCCTGCAAGGCTTTCTTCCCCCTGCCCTCGAAGCGCCCTCCGCAGGCCCTCCGCAGGCCCTCTAACCGCCTCCCCCGCTCGTGTGCCTCCTCCCGTCCCGACGACACAGGAGGTTTCAGGTCTAATGATTTTTTTCCTGGAGTGTGTGGACGGACGCGCGCCTCGCTGAAAGGGCGCGCAGGCGACGGCGGGCGACGCCGGCGGCCCACCTCGGTCTGCCCGCCGTTCCGTTGGCGTCCTTTTGACGTCGACCTAGCTGCTGGGGC